TTTTATTGAAAGAATCAACTGAAGAATGAAATGGTGATTGCAGTGTGAACCACTTGGATCTATCCTCTATCAGCTATGACCACTTTAATATATATGACTTTAGTTTTTGGAACCTCCTCAAATGGAACTAATTTGATTATTAAAAGAATGTGTCCAGTGGACAATTCCGTACTCATTTGTACAAGTTAACTGTTCACATTTTCTTTACTGATGATTAGAGACAATACCTTGTTGCCCCCAAAAAAGTTTAGAATTCAACTGCTTGGATAGCGTCCTTTTGAGCTTACTTGTCACATATGTTTTGAAACTTCATGTTCTTCTGTTCCTTGTTGAAACCAATGAGTCAAAGAGAAAGCTGCATATAAAAACAAGTAATTATGAGTTTCTCTTTCTGTTGCCAGCCTCTGTTAACATCTTATTCTTTATGCAGATCCACTGGTTCTCGGTGTTCAATTCTTTCATGATGGTTATTTTCCTCACTGGCTTAGTGTCTATGATTTTGATGCGCACTCTTCATAATGATTATGCTAAATATGCTCGTGAAGATGATGATCTGGAGAGTCTGGTAATCTTTTTTTTTTCTCAATGAATCATGTATTCGTCAGTTACATATTTTTTATGGTTTATAAATAAACAATTGTACAGGAGAGGGATGTGAATGAAGAGTCTGGTTGGAAACTTGTCCATGGTGATGTTTTCCGACCTCCACAAAATTTGGCCCTTCTTTCAGCTGTTGTTGGCACTGGTGCTCAGCTTACAACACTTGTTCTCCTTGTGATCATATTTGCTATTATTGGAATGTTATACATAGGGTATGTGTCCTAATTATATGTACTAAATCTGCAGATTGTGGTTCTATGCACTGTTTATTTCCCGTTCATTTACCAGTTGGATTTTCTGCCTCCCACTTTAATCTACTAATCTTTATCCTCTTGTCTGAAATGTTCCATATATATCTTTGTCTAATCAATACTGTGTCTATCATTTTCTATTTGAGTTTCTGCACATGGATTTGGATATTTCCTAGTGATTCAAATTGGTCCTTGTCTAATATTTTGACTATTTAATCTATACTTGGCATTTATTGCGCTTCTCATGTAGATATAACATTTTTTTCTATTTTGTGTAATAATGTAGCCATACACAACTAGCTAAGTTTAAACAAGTCAAATCTGTTCCAACTAAAGAAATATAGTTTGATTAATTGTTTCACCTAACTAAGTTTTCGAATATTAGTTAAATTTTCTGGTACTATTACCTGTATAGTATGAAAATCACATTAATATCATAAAGCTGTCCCCAGTCAAATCATATCACACGGTGGGTTATATTTTTTTTCTGATAAGGTACTGAGGGATACTTTACCCCCTATTTCTTAATATTGAACTTACTGCTGTACTTTATATTGCTCAGGAGAGGAGCTATTACTACAACCTTTATTGTATGTTATGCTCTTACATCCTTCATTGCCGGATATGTGAGTGGTGGCCTGTACTCTCGTAATGGTGGTATGTGACCATTCTGTAGTTGACGTCCTTCAGTTGTTTCTATCAATTCCCTCTAATCACAAGTGACTAAAGTTTTTTTCTTTTGTGAATCTTGTCAGGTAAAAAGTGGATAAAGTCAATGATACTAACGGCATCACTTTTCCCCTTTATGTGCTTTGGCATTGGGTTCATTCTAAACACGATTGCTATATTTTATGGATCTTTAGCTGCTATTCCCTTTGGCACAATGGTGGTGGTTTTTGTTATTTGGGCTTTTATTTCATTCCCTCTGGCACTTCTTGGTACTGTTGTAGGAAGAAACTGGAGTGGTACGCCAAACAATCCTTGCCGTGTTAAGACCATACCCCGCCCTATCCCTGAGAAGAAATGGTACCTCACAACATCTGTAATTTCTCTAATGGGAGGTCTTCTTCCCTTTGGGAGCATTTTTATTGAGATGTATTTTGTCTTCACTTCCTTCTGGAACTACAAGGTAATTCTATCCCCCCCCCCCTTTTTTTTTTTGCTTAATGGAAATAGCATTTTAAAAAGATATTTTTCCTTGCACCATTTCACTCGACAATCTTTTCCTTGCACCATTTCACTCGACAATCTTTTCAACATCGTTCAATATGTTTATTTGCTTTACTGGACAGTTTTCCACTATGTGAGCATTGAATCAGTTGAAATACAAGCGATTTATATTGCCTAAGAACTGTTTTTGTGTGAACTAAATATATTATATGCTTCACTGTGATTTTTATGTGCCATGTATATATAATCTCTGAGAACTATTTGACTACAAAAAAGCTGTTGTAAGGCTGATTTTGCTTCATCTTGATCAATCTGGAGGATTTCATCATAATTAGAATCTTGCAGCATCATTATTTACTTATTTCATTTTGTTCAGAGAAGTATACGCACCTGTCTTTAATTTGCTTGCTATCAGTGAGTTGAAAGTGAAGCTTTTCTGGTTCCGACACGAGTTTCTAACATGCAGAATATGTGTATGTGACATTTTTCAGAATGCAAGAGGACACAACATGGGAACACATAACTAACATTGATAGATACAAAAGTCTATTTGACGTCACAATTACTTTTCTAGTTTGACGCTTTTGTAACATCTTGATATTCATCTGGAGAAGTTTCAAAATACCTTGTTTGACCTTATGTGCTAAAGAGAAATTGGACTTCTTTTAGATGTACAAGTTTGAGGAGTGAGAGCAAGCTTATGACCTACAAATAACATGTGAGATAATTTTCTATTGGTCAAAAATAAAAAAAAAGGTAATTTAGATGTCAACATTGTTTTGGGCATGACAGCATGTCCCAGGACTGTCCAATGTGATCCTGTTAGACACTACTTCTGACATGGATATTGAACTGTTCTAACTGCCCAAGCTTAAGTTTGAAACCAGATTTTGTCTTGTGATCTAACTTTATATAATGAGGTATAGTGTAATAGAGACAAACTTGTATAATTGTCAATGTTATTTGCCAATAGATTCTGGTGATCGTTTTTCTAGTAGCTTGAGATTCTGAGAGGTTTATCATGTTTTTTGGTATAGTTCCTTATGTTCTCCATAAATTATTCAACACATTATTTAAACACATAAAGGACAACTTGCAATAACTTCTTCAAAGTAGGAATGGCGACATTGTCTAGCAACCAATCTCACAGCATTTAATATGCACAGTGGAGATTCTGTAGTGTTCCACCTACTGCTTTTCTTCTAAGTTGCTGCAAAGTTTTTCCCACAAAACAATGTATTTTACATTTATACTTTGGCTGACCTTTATTTTGTTGTTGGCAGGTTTACTATGTCTATGGTTTTATGCTTCTTGTATTTATTATTCTCATCATCGTCACCGTTTGTGTGACAATTGTGGGCACGTATTTCTTGCTGAATGCCGAGAACTACCATTGGCGATGGACTTCATTCTTTTCTGCTGCCTCAACAGCTCTTTATGTTTATCTTTACGCCATATATTACTATCACGTAAAGACTAAGATGTCCGGTTTCTTCCAGACCAGCTTTTACTTTGGCTACACTATGATGTTCTGCCTTGGCCTCGGCATCCTCTGTGGTAAGCTTTTATACGCAAATACAGGATTTGTTGAGTGTCTTATATTTTCCTTCCCTTCAAAAAGTCGCCCCTGTCATGGACTTAACTGATTCTTTCTTGATTTCTTTGTAACTCCAGGTGCTGTAGGATATCTTGGCTCTAACTTGTTTGTTAGAAGGATTTACAGAAATATCAAGTGTGATTAAGTGCTCAAACAAAGCATATGAAACAATGCACCACAGTTTTGCATGATCCATTCTACCTGTCACTTGTGGATTTCCAGATAATACCATAGCAATCGGGTTACCTAATGTGAATGAAGATTATTTTTACAAGAGATCGAAGGAAGAAAATTAGTTATTTCCAATTTTTCTGATTTAGAATGTGTGGAAATGTTTAGTAAAGTTGTATGGGAGAAACAATGGAATATTGTGCAACTTTTGTAGTGCATACATATATTACTTGCATATACATTTGTTTTATTACTTCAAAGGCCATAATCTGCATTGTATTTTGGAATATGTTGAGAATCATTTTTTTAAATCAAGTGACAGTACTTGGAAATATTGCCGCCTTCATGTTTTCGTGTTGTGAAATTCAGTGTTGTTTGTACAAATGGTTGTGCGTATACTTTGCTATTTGAAATTGGGTGATTTGGGTTGAAATTAGAAATATTAAAATGGATTGAAATAGAAGTTGAGTTGAATTTTGACCCACTCAAGTGTACTTTGATCCTAAATGAGTTGGGTTTAATTATGCTAAAAAGTGAATTGGGTTTTGAGCGGTTTAATTTGACTCGATGAAGTTCTTTCACATATTGATATTTAATTTTTATAATCACAATTTGAATTTTACCTAAATTGTTATTTATCTTTTTTTTAAAAAAATAACAAGATTCTAAAAATGTTAAATAAATAATAATTCATATCTTAATAAAAAACTAAAATTGATTGAAATTGAACTAAATTAAAGATTCATGTTAAATAAGTTATGTTTGAATAAGTTAACATTAATCTCAATTAAAATTATCTTTAAAAAAAAACTCTTATAATTCTAAACAAATTAAACGATGCTTGAGTTCACTTTAACGTCCCTAAATCATATCTACGTGAGTTTGCTCTAAATTCGGCGTTAACAAACTAATGAATTTACGATGAATTCCAATAATAAAATAGTTACCAGGCAACTTTTAAATGCTTGTCTAATACTATTAACTTCAAAATATAGTTTGTTTAGAAAAGCTAAATTGGGTAGATAAATGTGTTCACAGCCTCATGTGATATACTTTTACATTTTAAGTCGAATGGACACGTGGATTCAAAACCGCATGCAACTGGACACGTATACATTTTTCATCCAGCTAACATCCCTGACGTGTGAAACATTCAAACTTACCCTTACCCTTTAAAAAAATCAACCATATTCCTCCTATTTCATCTCACCATCTTCCATTCCATATACAACCAACAAAAACACTTGCTTTTTTTTTTTTTGTCTTTCCTTCCCCATAATAAAGGATGATTAATATTTTGGCCATTTCTCTTGTATTATCCACACTTGTTACAGCTGGATTTCTCACCCCCAATAAAAAAGAAGATGTTGTTTTAGTTGTTGAATTTGATCACAATCAAGGTACCAAAGTTCTAATCTCACCACAACAAGCTCAAATTCCAAATGACAACTCAAATTCAAATTCAAAATCAGGTTATGTTTCTGATTTGAAAGATAAATTATATGAAAAAGCGGAGGAAGCATCCTCTGTTCTTCCAAATATCGGTCAAGGGATTGCGAGTCCTTACGTGAATCAAAATAGCGCTAGAGATGTTGTTTGTGATGCTTATGGAAAGTGTAAAGAAAAATTTACTAGTGTTTTTGGTAAAACCAAAGATAAGGTTGAAGAAGGTGTTACAGAAGCTTCAGAGAAAGTAAAAGAAAAAGCGAAGGATGTAATTGATACAACGAAGAGTAAAAAGAATGAAATGGAACAAAAAATGGAGCAAGTGAAAGGAGAAATATCTGAGAAAGCAGAAGAAGGGAAAGAAGATATGAAAGATATTATCGTGCGAGGACGTGATTTCTTTCGTGATGTATTTACTTACAGATTTTCGTTTGGTAATTTGCGTCATGTGATGCGTTTGATGCATTTATTGGGGTTTTCTGTGGCTTATGGGATGTGTATTTGGGTCACATTTATTTCGAGTTACGTGTTAGCTAGAGTATTGCCAAGGCAGCAATTTGCAGTGGTTCAAAGTAAGATTTACCCTGTTTATTTTAAGGCTATGGCTTATTGCGTTGGCCTCGCATTCGTCGGTCATTTTCTAAGCCAAAAACGTTGGTTCTATACTAACTTGGGTGAAGCGGTTCAAGGTTTTAATCTTCTAGCTTCAATCTCCATGCTTTTGGTTAATTCTCTATATTTGGAGCCTCGAGCTACAAAGGTAATTCATATTTTTAATACATTTCTCTAGTTCATCTCTTTAAGTTTTTGCTTTGATTAGACTCGGCTTTCAACTAACTTGAAATCCAAGTACCTTTTAAATACTAGACACAAGCTATTACTCCTTGGCTCTGTCACATTGAATAATTTTGAATATGAATTGCATTTCGTCATTAAAAAATTACATTTTGAAATGTCACTTACAATTTTAGGTCCCAATTTTCTCAATTTTTTGAGATTTAAATTGTGTGAATTTTGGTCATTTCTAGTTTTGCTTAGATTTTGATTGTTTTGTTTAAATGTATTTAGTTGATCATTCGATTTAGCTTTAAAGAGTAGTTAGAAAATGGGTGGTAGTTTGAATCTCAAGAAATGACAAGTACTTATCACAATTTTTAACGGTAAGAGTAGTTTGAATCTCAAAAATGGAGTGGAAGGAGTAGTTTCAATCTCGAAACACGAACGAGTGTCGGTCACAAAATTGAAACCGAGGAGTAGTTTGAATCTAAAAAAATTGAACGAATAGAATAGTTTGAATCTTAATAAACGAAAAGTGCCACATGAGTTGGCTCACATGAAAAGAATTTGAAAATAACTCTTGAATTGAGAATATATCTCAATCTTGTTCCTCCCAAATTGGTTTGTGTTCAAAATATCGATACTTCTCCTCCTCGTTTCAAAAAGAATGTATATTTTCTTTTTAACTCCTTTAAAAATGATTTAAAAATGAATGAGCCTATTGATAATTTTTAACTTTTCACATGGACATTTTTAAAATTAAGATATTTTGTTATATATTTAACATAACTTTAATTATAGCTTTAATTTAGAACTATAAGTCTAAAAAATTTATTTTTTCCCTTTTAAGTTCTTTTTCAAATCAAAACAAGTATTATTTTAAAAAATTGTATCTAAATGCCATCATTAAAGTTGTAACCATTTTGTTTTTGAAAATGGAAGGAGTATTATTTAAAAAATTGTATCTAAATGTTAATCTTTCATTAAAGTTGTAACGGTGAAATTGTGAGTTCTAATAATGTTTGTGTTGCGAAGCACAGGTTATGTTTGAGAGATTGAAGTTAGAGAAGGAAGAAGGTAGAGGCACACGCATATTCAACGTCGAACCAAGCGGTACTATGGGAGTGGAGTCGGTACTGGATCCAACGAAGACGACAGCAACTAAACCAGCAGAAAAATCTCAAGAGCAGTCTGCGCCAGAGGTAGTGAAGCCCCAAGTGGTAAAATTGAGTCAGAAACTTAAGAAGTTGAACTCATATTCATCTTTTCTTAATGTGCTCACACTTATGGCACTTACACACCATCATGTTCACCTTACTCAGCTACTCGATGCCCCCACCTAAATCCGCAGATCGATCAGCTAGCTACTCTATACTCTGGTTATCTTATGTTATTTTTGGTTGAGGTGATTGCTACTCATCAGCTAAACTACTAGTATTCTAATTTCATCGTGTTTGCACTTGTACTTTGGCTTTCCTTTATTTAGTAAAATATACTAGGCTAGTTTCGATGAGAACAATGATCAAAATGGTCCTGTAATGAATGAGGCGTCCATATGGTTCTTAATGTAAAATGAAAAGATAGCTATGGTTCTTACATATAATTTATGAATTTATACAGAAGTAATTTGCGAGATCATGCACCTCTCTTTCCTACTTATAACAGAAAAGGGTACAGTTGGTTGGTCCAACCTGTTCTTGGAATAAACAACTCGCACATTTTTCCTTTTCAAAAAAATCAAATACACTAAGCACTACGCTGACCAACCTGTTCTTGGAATAAACAACTCGCACATTTTTCCTTTTCAAAAAAATCAAATACACTAAGCACTACGCTTAGATTTTTGGATTTGTTGATAAAATATCAATATTAAACCCGAAACTGCCGGCAGATGGCCAGTGGCCCAAAGAAACGAAAAAATCGGTTACAATTCTAAGAGCTGTTTGAATTTAGTAGATTTTTTATCTTTGTATATTACTGGGGGCTAAATTATTTTTGTAGAAATTTTAAATTTATATATAAAATTAAACTAAAAAAATTTGGGTTTTTCAATATTAAACTAAAAAAATATGGGTTTTTCAATTTTAGGTTTGTTTGAGTTTTTCAAATATTAAATTAAATTATTTCGTTGAATTTTTAAATTTATAGATTAAATTAAACTAATAAATTTTAATTTTCTTTTTTTAGATTTTTGAATTTTTCGATAGAGTTTGTATAAATTATATAATTATTTGTGTTTTAAATATTTTTTTAATTCAATTAAATATATTTATTTAAGGTGTTCTTTTTAAAAAAAATAATGCAAAAAGATATGAGGATTTGGTTACACACAAATATTCATTAAAAGAAAATAATGAAATCACCATACAAAATAAATATTATGAAATCATAAAAAGAATAATTATAAATTAAAAGTACTAAGTTAATATTAAAATAAATTTAATAAATATAAGTTACATAATTAAATATTTAAAAAAATTAAAATTAGATTTATATATTTTAATATTCAAATTAATGTAAAATTGTAGAACAAATATTTAATATTATTGTCATTTTAGCGTTGAATTGATTTTCTTTTTATATTAAAATTAATTTGATTTTGATTTGAGCTACATAATAATAACCAACATTATGGATTAAAATCTTTATTGAACCAATACGAATTTTAAGTTTTAAACTTGAAATATATATTAAAAGATAAAAATGATGAATAGTATAAGCAATATTTTTAAATGATATTAAAGTAAATATTTTTATGTATAAAATAAAAATTTAAAAATACATATATAATAGCGAGTTGATTTAATTTTTTTTTTTTTAGTTAAAACCAAGTTAACTCAAATATAGTCAGATTTATTTTTCTTCTATCAAACCAAATCACTAATTAAATTCTTTGATCAATTTAATCCAATTTACAATTAGATTTGATTTTGTACGCCTCTAACCACTATAAAATCCTTCTCTTCAACTTCTTTCTTTTGCAATTTGAGGTCATGCTATATATCTTCATAAGATATACACTACACTTATTTCTCATTTCCATTCAAACAAAATTTTCGAAAGCTTCCATTATCCGATATATGGAGAGGACATAGCTTTCTTTTGTTTCTATCCTATTTAAAATTACTAATTTTTTAAGCCACTTTTAATTTTATTTTTGAAGTTAAAGGGTAAAAAATTGAACAGATGTAGAAAACAAAAATCTTACTAATATATTTTTGAAATTTGAAGAAGCTTTTCTGAGAAGATTTTAGCAGCAAAAATTGTGGAAGAAATGAAAAAAAAAAAAGATGATGAAGTAGAAGAAATGAGCGAGAAAGATGGAGGAAGAAGGGGCCCAATTGTGGAATTCACAATTGAGTTTTAACAATTTTTATGTTTTCAGTTAGTTTTCAGCGTTAAGAATCAAAATGATCCTCTTTTGTAATACATTAAGCACCATACGAAATAGGTGAAATAGTCTCATGAATCCTTTTATATGTATCAATTTGTATTCTGGGTGCCCGTTTGGATTGACGTATTTTAGGTGCTTATAAGCTAAAATAATCTTTAATCAGTTTTGAAGTGTTTGAGTAAAGTTAAAAAGTGCTTATAAGCACTTATTTTAAAGCGAAAATAAAAAAAATAAGTCAAAAGTCATACGTTAGGAATCCTAACTTATGACTTTTGACTTATAAGTCGTAAGTCAAAAGACAATCCAAACAGGCCTTGAATCCTTTTTCTTAATCATTTGCCAATTGAATCCTTTTAAGCCCCTTCAATCATGTGTGTAACTCACTTTCCTTTGCATAAATAACATGTCAATTCATGTCATATATATTAGTGCCATGTCATAATTATATCATAACAATTTTTTTAAAAAAAAATTATTGATCAAAATTATTTAATAAAAGATAAAATAATAAAATAATAATTTATTCTTTAATGTAAAACTCCATACATCTGATTCTTCCCATTTTCAGTGTTCATGGTCAACATCTACGATAGAAGTTATTGCCGCCGTTGTCACCACTTTTGCTGGCAAAATGACATATGCTTTCTCCTTCATCTGTTTTCATCTCAGTCGCACATGATCATCTCTAACCTTCACAAAACCAACAACCTAAATCACCGCACCACTAGATCTGTCCAAAAAACCTCTTCGCTTTCATGACCTTGCACCTTCATTCACCTCGTTCTCCTCTCCACTGACCAGTGTCATCTCTCACTCTCACTCCACTGCGAAGCAATGGTATTGTATTCGCCGCCATCGACGTAAGTTACTTCTTCAAATCCTCCATCTCCGACGTAGTTCCTCCTCATTGGAATTTACAATGGTGGCTGCAAAGAAGACCAAGATTTGATAAGTTTGACAACTTTATTTATCACTTGTTGGAAGAAAGCTTTGATGATGTTGAATTTGAGTTCAACAATTTTCTTGAGTTATGTTGTCACAATCCAAAACGAGCCGTGAGTGGCACCCACACTTTACCTCCTAGGTGAGAAAACCCACAAATTTAACCCAACTTACAACCTACAAGAATAATGCGGAAAGTCAAAATCTTACTATTGTTTTCCAAAACCAGAAAGTCATCACATCAAAAACATCTGATCTCCAATACTAAGTCTAAGAATATCAAATACATCAAAATAAAATAATAAAACGGTATGTGTCCGAAAACATAGGACGTTATGTCATGATGAGAGAATCTAACACGAGTTTGAATAAATAGCTCACCCTGGAACTTGATAATCTGGAGACTGACTAGAGATGAGAGCAAATTGAAGTCATTCGTACACTCGCTTTAGTTCATAAAAAGAAAACAAAGAAAAACACGAGAAGGGCTTAGTACGGGGCAACCTGTACTGAGTAGGTATCATCGGCCAACCCAAAATAGAAATTAATATACAATGAATAATAGTATGAACTCAACTATAGCACTTAATAGGTGATAAGCAACAAACAACATGAACCAGTGTCACCAACACTAAAGTAAGTATGAAATAAGTCAACAATATCAAGATCATCCATGAGGACTCATGCCTCCAACCAAACCATTTGGGAAATTGAGTTCTTTGAGATTGAGTACATTCTGTTAATTCAATATGTTTTTTCTTTAATATTATCGTGTCAGAACATGACACTCCAATCCAATTATATCGTGTCGGAACGTGACACTCCGATCCAAGAATATCGTGTCGAAATGTGACACTTCGATCCAAGAATATCGTGTCGGAAGGTGACACTCCGATCCAAGAATACCGTGTCAAAACATGACACTCCGATCCAATTATACAGTATTGAACGTGACACTCCAATCCAATTATACTATTAAGTTATCATTTACTATCACCACTTTCAATTCATTGATTATATTTCATCAAGCCTTCTTTATTCAAGCCATCACTTTGATAAAGAGGGTTAAAGAATATAAATTTCACGTTCTCAAGATTTCAGACCAATCACAAAACACACAACCAAACTACACAACCATATAATCAAGTACATAGAAAAAATCACAATATCATTCATGCATATCAATCATTATTAAGAGTTTAATATCAAATAGCATAAACCATAACTTACCTCCACCGAAGAACCGAAGTCAAGCAAGCTACTTCTTCAATATTTTTCCTTTCCTCAAGGCTCCGAACCTTTCCAATCTATGCAACATGCATAATTTTTTAGTCAATGATTCTATATACACTCATATTACTCTATGTTTAGCCTAGACCCAACAATGAATCAAGCACCAATCTATATTCAAGTTCCTTATCTTGAGGTCAATTAATATGTCAAGCCTCCTATTTCTTATATTTAACCCTAAGGTTAAGTCTTTATTTCTTTGAATAACACAACCTTAATAATATTCAAATAATATATTACACTCGATATTTAATTAATAACTTAGTATATCACAGCTCATTTTATAATAAGATAATAAAAACTATTTGATTAAAATTGGAAGCCACTGATTACGAATGAGCGGCGAGTGTCAAAGACCATGTTGAACTTCCAATGTTTGCCCGATACCCAACAATTAGCCTAACCCATTTAATTTCATAAACACACTGCACGTGAAATCTTTCTGATTTCAATAATTTTTCGACTATGGAAAAGTGAATTACTATGTGCACTAGTTAAACACACAATTCTTAGATAAACATTAATCCTTTATGCAAGGGACTTAGAAAAAAATTGAAACACCGTATATCCATCACTCTTTAAATAAACATTAATCACTAATTATTCCAAACCTATAAACCCATGTGTTGGCAGCAGGACCAAAAAAATCAAAGAAAACAAATCTGCAGAAACTTTTCAAACTAACAATTCATTCTTTTGGTCCTTCATTATTTCATTATTATCCTAATCATTGGCATTATTAATTTCTTATACAAAGATTCCTCCAATATAACAAATTACAGCTACATAATTGGTTAGTCTCTTTCCATATGAAGATATAAAATCATAAGGCAATAGGCATAGTATAATGCCATTCAACATACTTTGGAGCATTATTATTCTTACCCAAATGTGCTTGGCGGCACTCGCTCCTATTCTGCATGTGCAGGTAAGTCTTCTAACCTAATTTATTTTCCCTAAATTAATAATGAATCAAAATTTGCTAAACTTTATTAATTTTATTCCTTTTTAT